GAGATCACGTGACTATTCCCACGCCCTCTACTTTCTAGAACTATCCTGTACTTTGGCGTATGCTCTAGCGTTTACTAGATATAGGGTAGTCTGGTATATAAAAGAGGCTCTAGCATTTACTAGATATAGGGTAGTCTGGTATATAAAAGAGGGTGACAACGTGACGGTAATGTAATGTGTATGTAGACAGTGAGTAACTGATCTGCAGTCAGAGAGTATTATTGAAGCTGAGCACGTTCGTTGATATAGCGTTTGTTATAGAGCGATTGTTAAAAATAAGTGTATCGTAAAGTTATATTCGGAAAGAATAAACCAGTTTTATTAAGTAAGGACTTGTGTCGCTAAAGTTTCGTCGGAACGAAGTTACGGAAAATTAATTAACAAACGGAGACGTAACACTATTCTATCCAGAGTTGCATTTTACTACCCAGACTTTTCTAATAACTCTTGCACCAGTATTTATGTTGTTGACTATAAAACTTACTTTGTAGTTTTACAACTTCCTCAAACTATAGAATATTTTTCATATCTTCACCATCAAAAATGTCATCTCGGCATATAATTTTATCAGAAATTTGGTTAGATACATTCGTGTTCATCCAATTTTAAAAATGAAATTTTCATGCTGAACAAACATATTATAAAACTAAAAGTGTGATATTTTCGTTCTTACAAAATACATATTATAAACGTATGGTCTCTGTAGCCGTTTCACACACAGTGACAATTAATGAAAATGAAGTTGAATGATAAAAATGCAGGTAATACCAAATTCCTTGTCTGTAATACTCTTTTAGCAATGATAAGCTGCGATATGTGAAGCTTCACTACTAAGCCATTTGTTATTTAAAGGTTACGTCACGTAATAGTAAATGTTTTGCAGAATTTATGGCAACAGCAATAATAAATACAACAAAACTGTTGACTTAAAAAGACTTGTGCAGACTGATGTACTTGCAAGTTAATTGGCAGTAATGAAAGAATCAACGAATTAAAGGAATCAAAGCACACATTGATAGGCACATTATATTGTATTTAAATAGAAAGAAAACCAGCAGTAATTTCACATATTTATCAGGATACAATTTTGCATTGTAGCTCAAAATTTTATTTGTTTGTAATTAAGCACAAAGCTACACAATGTGCTATCTGTGCTCTGCCCACCACGGGTATCGAAACCCGGATTCTGACGTTGTAAGTCCGCAGACATACCGCTGCACCACTGGGGGGCGTAGGTCAAAATAATACTACAATAAAATTATTTTCAGATTAAAATAGTTACTGAACAGGTGCTCTATCCAAATGAACGATTACCAATTCAAAACATGAGAATCATACCTGAAAAAGGCTTCAAATCTACCTTAAAAATGTATAGCAAATTAGCATTTACAAACCAATTTTCCTACAGACAGATATTTTTACTGGTAAATATAATTGTCTTAACTGCTTAACTTTTACATATACATAATAATTTGGCTAGATATTCCCCATTTTTAGTTGTTGTTTTTTATATATGTGAAATATACACCACTTAAAAGAGTTAGAAAAGTCCTTTCATCATAATTTCATCAATATAAACAATTTATATGATCTATTAAAAGTAAAAATTTGATATACTTGAATGTATGACAATTCACGATTGTCACCATAAGCTGTAGTAGTTTTGGCCAACTACAGTAGTTACATGATCTGACTGGTAGTAGCAGTTTTGGCCAACTACAGTAATTACATGATCTGACTGGTAGTAGCAGTTTTAGCCAACTACAGTAGTTACATGATCTGACTGGTAGTAGCAGTTTTAGCCAACTACAGTAGTTACATGATCTGACTGGTAGTAGCAGCTTTAGCCAACTACAGTAGTTACATGATCTGACTGGTAGTAGCAGTTTTAGCCAACTACAGTAGTTATATGATCTGACTGGTAGTAG